GTGATGGAAAGTATTAAGGAAAAAAAGCACTTAATCTTTCTTTCAATTCATATCCATCTAATCCTGTTCTACTTTATGGTAGTCAAGTTATTTAGGTGAAAACGTTTTGCTAACATAGATTTTAGTATTACTTAATGGTAAAGTTGACTTTAGAGAGTTTAAACTTGGTCGTATTCATAACATATGCACACATTCATTTATTCACACTATTAATCTAAGATTGGTGTACAAATTATGTAAATACTGATAGGCCGTATATACTACATTTAATACAGTATTCTTTGCATTAGTCTTCTTGATAGCATGTACAGCGTTATAATCTAATTATTTCACCAAATTTTACTTTAATGAAAATTAATGGAATAGTTTTGACCTGACAACATATTGTTTAGTTAATTGACAGTATTTATTTTGATAGTAAAGATTCTGTATATTGATTAGAGATTACAGATACTAAAATTAATACTTCAGTGCCATAACATGCAAGTTGTTATTAATTATTATTAAAAATTTAAACATTTTGATTTTGACATTTCAATTTAAAGCTTGTTAATCTTTTAATCATATGTCCAAGTTCACCTAAAGTAAGTGTAAATAAATCTTATTGACTTAATGGCAAATTTAATAGCCTTAGTTAGCCATGTATTGCTGTAGTGAACAAGATCATCAGTTGGAACAATCCAAAGTGTTTAATCACACATTACAATCCATCTTACTAAGATCTTATAACCATACAGCAAACAGTTAATTTGCAAAATAACAATCAATTGTTTCAATCTTCACTATTCCTTCTGTAAATATCAATCCATCTTCTCTAATTTGATTGCTTATGCATTTTCCTACCAATCGCGCTTCATTTAAGTTCTTTCCTTATCGGTCTTTTACCAAAATACATTCCATGTCTGACCATCACTATATACTACTTATGAGGAAATAAGTAGACCACACCACGTTGTCTGTGCATTTTTTCCACAGAACTGATGAAAAAATAAAGATATTATAACGGATATTTCATTTTGTATAGCAATAAAAATGAATAAAAATATTTTTAGTATCATTGGGATATTACAAATATATTCTTTAGATAACTAAAATAACTCATAATGTCATTGAATAAGAAAAAGAGAATTCAGCGAAGAAAATTTTCTTTTCGACGAAATCATTTACTTAAGCTGTACATTCGTATATATAGTAATATGGAAAATATATGTCTATAGGAGGCTAGAAAAGATTGCATTATAAATGGATTCGACAATAAATAACAAATGAGGTGACGTACTAATCAAGGGGTAAGGAAGAAAATAATTTATGCGTCAGATAATAGTTCAATTAACAGATATGAAGAAGAGCGACAAACACAAAGGTCATAATAATAATAATCTGAGTAATAATCAAGAAAACTTGTATAAGGTAATAATAATAATAACCGATTAGAGATTAAATGTAAAGTAGTAATCTAAAAAACAAAAAACCGATAATAATCAGATAAAAGTACAAAAACCAAAAAACCAAAAAACGTACCCAATGAGGGAATTAGGGCCAAGGAAGGGTAAGAGGTTGGACAAATCGTTTCTGCACGCAAAGTTCAGGCTTGAATTCATGGATTGCCAATGCCTCAGCAGTGCATAAAATATTGATTCGACCTCCCTTTGATCCGGTTCCTTTAACTCTATAGATTATTTTAAAAGACGTCTCTTTTGGAGCAATGTGTCCGCAATTGATCAAGTGCTCTTGTATCGAACTGGTTGTCTTCATACATTCACCTTTTAGGAACCAAGCTGGATAGTGTTCAGAGATACGTTTGGAAAGCGATCGCTTTGTGCGGCCTTTTTGTTTTTTTTTGTTTTTTGTACTTTTATCTGATTATTATCGGTTTTTTGTTTTTTAGATTACTACTTTACATTTAATCTCTAATCGGTTATTATTATTATTACCTTATACAAGTTTTCTTGATTATTACTCAGATTATTATTATTATGACCTTTGTGTTTGTCGCTCTTCTTCATATCTGTTAATTGAACTATTATCTGACGCATAAATTATTTTCTTCCTTACCCCTTGATTAGTACGTCACCTCATTTGTTATTTATTGTCGAATCCATTTATAATGCAATCTTTTCTAGCCTCCTATAGACATATATTTTCCATATTACTATATATACGAATGTACAGCTTAAGTAAATGATTTCGTCGAAAAGAAAATTTTCTTCGCTGAATTCTCTTTTTCTTATTCAATATATTCTTATTATTTATAACAATCTACCCCATGCTCAATTTATTTGAAATTAACAAGTCATACGATGGTAATCACGCTTATAAATTATGAAGGTTTGTTTATGTGCTTAGATTTCAATCTGGGAAATGTGATCACTATATAGGTATCCATACCAAGATTGGACCTGATATTTTCTAATAAATTGGGCATGGTGTAGAGAGTTATTAATAAATATATTTTGTTATATCCTAATGAATAGAAAAAAGTGTATTTCTGACGTTTAGTGATTTAATATGTGACACTTCTTCAGAGTGCATAAATACCCGATACTAAATTACCACAATTTTAAATAGTACTTCTGTTAATTTAATATTGGTTATTTATCTACTTTGAAGAAGCGGTTTACATGGAGTCACGAAACGTCAGGAGTACAATTTATCTATTCATTGGGATATAACAAAAAAATATTTATCAGTGACCAGTATATGTACATGACCATAACTAGTAATATTCAAAATTATATGAAAATGAAGTTAGGATATCAGGTTGTTTTTTACATACGAAGTCTGTTAAATAGGGCTGTTTAGACATTATTAATTACTGCAAAATATTTCTGTTTGCAACAAATGGTTGGACAACTTTACCTTTAGATATGTATTTAAACCACCATCATTCAAGATTTAGATAAGTTGTCAAGTGAAAATAATTCATGTATAGATTTTCATCCCTTGCCTTTAGTTTCTTCTTAAACAGATTAATTTATTTAGATGTGCAGATATATATCATTAATGAAATAGAAAGCAGCTGGCATTCTTCATTAAAAATAATTTTGATAACAATATTATTATTTCTGATCTACATAAACTCAATGATTATAATCTGTAATCAGTCTGTGCATTACGTTCAAATAAGATGAAGTCAATTTGGCATGCATTATGTATATATCTATTCTATTTATTAGACTTAATTTAGTTCAAATATAACTAAATGTTGTATCTTATGACTATGAAAATAACAATCTTCCTTCTTAGATACTATCATTTCTCCTTCGTTTTTTATGAAATTTATAAATGGTACATTCTTATTTGAATGATATATTTCAGAAATTATATCTCAACGTTTAGTATATCCTACAGTATGGCTTGTTAATTTTTTATTTCATGTCAATAACACAAAAGGGAATAATACTACAACATTAGTAAAGAATAAGTTTCATCAACTTAACAATGTCTATCTCCGGTTGGTTTTTTGTTCGTTTTTTGTTTTGTTTTTGTAAACAAACTTTTTCATATTTGTAATAACAAAAAGAAATTGTTTATTTATATATAAAAACGTTTATTTAAAACTTTCTTTTGTTTTAAATAATAAACTTGTTTTTTTGAGCACTTTTGTTTTATTTGATATACATGTATTGTTTGTTTTTTTAAAAGTTGAACAATAGTTATAAATTGACTGACATGGTTATATCTTAAATATTTACAAAGTTATTATGTTTAAATAACTTCTTAAATGTTTGTTTATCTATAATGACTCCTGTGAAAAAAATATTACGGAATAAGATAAGATAATTTGTTCAGTATAATAGTCATTTACTTTAGTGTAATAATGATTCAAGATGCAATATTCTTTGCGTCAAACTAAAATTAACTATTGTAAGCAAAGATGGATAGTGGCTAGCAAGACGCGCGCCACTTCGTCCTTTTTTGGGACTCATCAGCTGAATTTATCTGCATCTTAACTGACGTTCACTTTGGGACTCGAACCCAGTACCTTTCACTTCAAACATCATTAAGTTATCCACTCAGCTTCTGAGTTCTGACTGACCAGTTGCAGTTCTAAACATCAATTGGAATATTCAAGAAAGCAATACTAAGTGAATTTAAAATGAACTATGTTCAACATAATATCCAGTATATAATTAGTAATAATTGCGGACATTATTCATATATATTTATATGATTTTATTCTAAATATTAATATTATTATTATTAATATTATTAATATTAACGAATGTATTTTCGAATAGGTTCGTTTTCATGCTTTTGGTGAATTAATCTTCACTTGTACCAATCTTGGTGTTCTTACTTCGTGTGCTGAGAATTTCAGTGGTTCTTTGTTTTCGAAGTATTAGTACTAAGCTATGCATATAAATATTTCACTCAGGCGAACATAAACAATAACGAGTGGATAATTAACTTTTCATATTACACTATTGACGTGATAGTGTTCTGTCATTATTTTTAAAAAGAATATAACATAAATACGTTATGAATATGCCAGTAATGTGGGTCTCCAGGTACTTTACACGATTATATTTTAGTATGAATTCACTGTGGTGTTTAATTGTTCATTACAAGTAACGATTCAATTTTGTCTATTTCATATTTAGATTTCTATTGATTCTACGTTTTTGTGATCAGTAGCATCTTTATTAACTTCATAAGAATTATTTCACTGAGCATTTTTACCATACACATTTTAACCATGTTAAATATTTAACTAAAATGATTTCTTCAGAGAGATTTTTGAAGGAGATTGGATCAGTTTTTAGTGAGAACTGTTAGCATTACTTAAATTTCGTCGTGATTACCTCAAACATATTTACCTATAGTGTATTTCATATACCTAAAGCCAAACCTTTGTATTGTTCAACCGATTTCAGAAGAATATTTTTAAAAAATACTTTATCCCAATAGTTCCTTATATCAATGAGAATAAAATGTGTAAATGTACGTTTCTTAGTCATCATGGAAACTATAGATGTCATAAATATATTATTTTGCAGCTCAGCTTAGACGAAAAGTTGGAATAATACGTCTGATATCTGTCAAATCAAACACTGGGTCCAGTTTTATATCCTTGCTATAAAAAACTTGTACTGAATCAACTTCCTGCAAACTGATCGAGTAAACATCCAAGATTCATTGCCCACTAAATAAACTATTTAACTGAAGAGATGTAACAAGTAGTGGCATTTAAACAATTTTAATAAAAGGTACGTTCCGATCAGAACGACAACCGTAATTCTTGTATAGTCATTTGTATTAGTTTGTATTTCATCAGATTGCTTTCGTTATTTAACAAATAATATGAATAAATACTTTTTATGTAAATTATCAAAGGCGTTTAATAATAATGTTTGTTTGAGATGTTCAACATAATAAATATTATGTTAACTAAAATTTTTACTTTCATTTAGTGTTGTTTGTTTGAATCTTCACATCGATGTGTTAGGACTGCAACTGGTCAGTCTCTAATTAACATATGTGCATACTGTGCGTATTGCCTCGATATAGCCTTAATTCACAAGCATGGTGAGCAGAGATGGATAGTGACTAGCAGTGGAATCCAAGAAGAAATTTTCGTCCTATTTAGGACTCGCCAGCTGGATGTACAGCATCTCAGAGTTGATGTTCACTCTGGGACTCGAACCAAGTATTTTTCGCTTCAAACGCCATCGCGTTATCCACTCAGATACTGAGTCCTGACAGCCACTTGCTTGTGCAATGGGATGGATAACGCGATGGCGTTTGAAACGAAAGGTAATGGGTTTGAGCCCCTTAGTGGACATCAACTCTGAGATGCAGATACATACAGTTGACGAGTCCCAAATAAGACGAAACGTGCGTCGTGGATTTCACTGCTAGCAACTATACATCTCTGCTTAAAAAAATTACGTTTAAATTAGTTTCCGAATAAAGTTTTTTTAATGTTTCATTTTCCGCTGTTTTGATTGTCTCTAAAGTAGCACACAAAGATCATTAACGATATGGATAGTCTTGAGTTGATGCCTTTTAAAAACCAATATGTCAAAGTTAATACCGGAATTGACTGTATCAATGATCATACACATCTATACCTATATAAATATAAATATATGTATGTTCTCAAGTTTTTTACAAAATAAGTAAGAGTTCATAAATGCAGAAGACAAATTCTGACAAACTAGTTAACATATACAAGGATGCTTCTATTAAATATTAAACAATAAAGAAAAACTAGAATCTAATGAAATGACTATAAACTAGAACAATCCATTCTTCAGATAATTTTAAACTAAACGAATTAATTAGAAGTGTAATAATTAGATGTGGAATTAAAAATTAGTCAAATTGTTTCATTATAATAGTATAATACATGACAATAAGCAGAAGGAATGCTTATTTATCGTGAGTAAACATTAAATATATATACGTATATAGCCTTCAGTCGTTCATTTGCATCTTTCGGCGTGTTCTACCATCTCGTCTAATCTCCAAGTGTTCTGCGAACGCCATGCTTTCGATGTGCTGAAACTAATTACTTCGCTTAACGATTGTTACAACTTCTGTGCTACGTTCCGCTATGTGCTACTTACAAACAATACTATGGGTAGCATCTACTACAATATCATCCAAATGTTCATAACATTTTTTATTTTTAGTCAGTTCATGCATCTATTATTAAATCTGTTCGGGATCAAAATCCAAAGTGAAAACTGTAAATTAACTCCAATTCACTATAATAGTTATTACACTTTGGTAACCATAACAGCCTATAAATAGTAGTCGCAAGTGTGCCTAATAGAACTAGTAAAACAAACATACGAAATTACTGTTAACAAGTGAATACTATTTTACTGATGTTTATAGTTTTGCAATTTAGTCTACTTGCTTAAATTTTCAAATGTCTTACCGGTTAGGATTTATATCGAAATTGAGAGATAAAGACTCAGCTTCTGGATCATAATAAACTGATACTTTTCAATTTATCCTAAAGTCGAAATGCTTTTTAAAATGCTTTGTAGACCTTCCACCGCAAAAAATACTTAGGTAACGATAGTTAAAACGTTTACAAACTTGTATTTAACACCAGAAATATAGTATATCAATCTGGCTTTGATTAATATTGAAGTGTTCTTGAAACTGATGAAATGATTTGTGTGGCTTGATTCAATTACACAGATTACTGAACATCATTGTAAAACTAAAGGACTATATATTTATCTTGTTCTCTGAAGTAATTTAAAATCTGGACTGCGGAAGTTTCAAGATAACAACTATAAAATTATTATAAAGGGGATAAATATTTCAGTGCCAGGAATGATCATTAAAAAGACATTTTTATCAATGAAACATTTTCTTGATTATTCGTTCCTTAACATTTTTTAAAAATTGTCGCGAAATGATATAAACAACTATTCGAGAAACAACTTTGTCGACTTATAATATTAATAACATATTTTTAATATTTCAGCAGGCATCAAGATGGAATTCTCGACCTTTTTGACTTATTGTAACTTATATCTTCAACAAAAAGCTAGTGGATTTAAGTTCACAACAGCTTCAACATCCTTATATTGAGCTACAAGCATTCACCATCATCTCAAGTTGATTTGAAAAATAAAAGTAAAAAACAACATACTTCAAAACGCTTTAGATTACATAAACAACACACTTCATTAACAAAACTCTTTGTATGACATTTTGAATAGAAAATACTTCTAATCTGAACAAAAGAGCCATAAGAATCTAAAACTCATTTCAGAAGTAGTGGCATATGAAAAAAATTGAACAACCATTAAAATGATATTAATGAATATTGAAATAATCAAAAAATCATTCCATAACTTTAAAGGAGCCTAAATAGCTGAACCATTTCATGCAATATGAAATTATTCTGTGATTAATAGAGCTTAAGTTCATATTATTCAAACGAACAGGAAAATTTCATTAGATAATCAAAATAAAACTGAACAAGATCACACAACAAGAAAGAACGCATTATTCTACTAGTTCAGATAATAAGTATTACATTTTTTTCTTACCCAGTTATACATACACATTAATTAATAAAAACATGTCTCCCATTGAATCATAATTCACTTGAATAATCGCATTATTAAGATTAAATTCGTTTAAATATATGAAAGATTTAGTCCGATCTATTCTTAGTACATTTTTAACTTGTGTTAAATTAGAAAAATTGTTATTCTTTTAAGACGTGACTTAAACTAAATGTCAAAAATTCAATTTTTGCTAGAATAATTTTTAAAAATATTTTTTTATTAAAGCTGTATCGAGGCAATACGCACAGTATGCACATATGCCAATTAGAGACTGACCAGTTACAGTCCTAACACATTGATGGGAAGATTCAAACAAACAATGCTAAATGAATTTAAACTGCACCCCATTGCACAAGCTAGTGGCTATCAGGACTCATTAGCTGAGTGGATAACGAGGTGAAGTTTGAGGCGTAAGGTACTTGGTTCGAGTTCCAGAGTGAACATCAATTCTGAGATGCAGGTACATCCAGTATACGAGTCCCGAATAAGACGAAACGCGCGTCGTGGATTCTACTGCTAGCCACTATCCATCTTTGCTTACAATGCTTGTGAGTTCAGGCAATACCGAGGCAGTTGTCACATTATTCGCATATACCAATTAGAGACTGACTATTTGCAGTCCTAAATAACAGTCGGAAGATTCAAATAAATAATACTAAGTGAATATCAAAAATTTTATTTCATATTTTATTTGTTTTAAATTATCGAATTACATTTTAAATATTGAGTCGATTATTGTTAAGTAATTGTTATCGTTTTATAACATCGATAGAAACTAGAGAATTCTATTCAAACGACTTTATTGTATGACAATTAAACACATAGCAACTAAATATATATGTATTTGATGAAATGAAAATCCATAAAAACAGTTGAAAATCTCAAAACAACACTTTAAAATGTTCGTTTTACTATGAAATGTTTATTATTTAACTTACTTATTAATTTTTTGACAATAAGTAATAATCTTGTTTTCTTTTTTAGATTTTTGATCGTTGGCAACAAACTTATCATTCTGTATGTTGTAAATCTGAAGTACATTGAACAACATCCGATCCTTGAAAAATATAGTTACATTGAAATATGGATAAGAATGAAGTTATCAAAAAAGATTTGCAAAAATATTTTACTTCTCTCTCTATTTTTACAATAAAATAAATCCAATACATTCTTGTTTTATTTTATACGATGACTCTTTAAAAACGCTTGTTTTTAAAAAAAAATTAAGATTAGTTCACGAAACACTTATTGATTTTTTCGACGTTAGTTTAAAAGAACTTGGAGTGTATTAGTTTTTATTAGCCCTTTATCTGATTCCAGTTAGATAGGAGAAATGATCGTTATCGAACGATTGCTGTCGAAATATACATCCTTGATATCGTCGTACATAATCATCGACTTGAATCGCATTAGTGAATAACGAAATTAAATAAGTCAATTACGAGAATGAAGACTGAATACGTATATTTTTTAAAATCGTTGATCAGAACAGACAATCAGAGAAAAGGAGCGAAGAGAAGAGAACGAAACAAAATGATGCACAGTGGAGAAGGCATGTGAACTAACTCAATCAAGTGTTAATCGATATTTATACTCAAACAAAAATAAGTTACAGGCATGTGACGAATAGGATAAGAAGTGCACACATTTGTGTTCATACAAAAAGTCAAGGTTGACAAGTGTATAACTAGCAAGGTCAAAATGGGAATGAAGAAGAATGAATAAATGGGCCTCTCCAAAAGCTACGTGGGCTTAACATAGCGACCGGGACTTCAAGTTGATAAACGGCCAATATAGGCAAGATAAAGTTCCATTAGTATTCAAGTATCAATGTAGCTCTTTACGGTCTTCACCCATCAAAAGATAAAGCACTTTATATATATTTATATATATATATACTACTAAAAACAAAAGGGTGATCCAAGGAATACAGTGTTCTTTTCAACGATGTCATTTATAAAACTGTACAATTATATTTATATTGATCTATTGTATTATGTTTTCCTATACCTTCGGTTAAATATACATTGATTACGTATATACTTTTAGTACATATTTTTATTCGATTATTTATACATTACAGAAACCCATATATTAAAGAATTCGTTTCGGTACATTTGAATTGATCATTTAACCTTATCTTGGATTACATTTCTGTCATTTTAAAAAAGTTCCAACATTTTGAAAGA